TCAGCAACCTGCAGTCCTGGCGCCAGCAGCGCAATTTGGCAGCGCTCGGAGGGCTCTGGGACAACAGGTAGGGGAGGGGAGAATATTTAAATAAAAAGACTGGCCTAATGGAAAAAACCATCAGCCGGCGTCCTGCCGCTGGGGCTGTTTTGCCAGGTGCTTTTCCTGCGTGCTCGGGCCTGTCCTTCTCTCATTCGACGGCTTTTCTGCATCACGCTGTGGGTGCCTGCTAGGAAGGCCGGCCCAGGGCGACCCTCTGCGCTTGGCACCCGCTGCTCCCAACTGCACGGCGGAGAGGAAGGGCCCYGCTCCCCTCCGGCACCCGCCTTGGCCCTCTGCTCCCCGAGACGTCACCCCGTCCCTGCCCAGCCGCAGGGCCGCCCTCGTGGCCCCGGGGAAATCTCGCGCCCTAGTTAGTTAGTGCCTGATGGCTCAGCACCTAGATTATCCCGTAATCCTTGCAGGGGGAGTTAATCTGCCGCGGGGTTACGTCAGCAGCGCCAGGCGCCCTCAGCCCGGCTACCATTACAGGGCAGCAGCGCCTAGAAAGCGCCGGGGGATGTTACCCCACGCGCTGAGCGGAGCTTAAATCCTCCTGGTTTGCTCAGGCCTGGCGCTCGGTGACTCCAGGGGCTGTGAGAGCTGGAGCAGGGAATCCTCTGTAGCGGTGCTGACTTTCGGCAGGATCCCATGGTGGTCCCTGGCAGCTGCCGGGAGCCGGCCGGGTGATCCCGGGCGCGCGCCCTGCTCCAGCGACACGCTTTGCATGGAAACACGCGGAGGAATCATGCGCGCTTCCCAGCTAGCGAATGCCTGGCAGCATCACGAGGGGAAAGAAGGAAGGAGGAAACAAAAAGCGCCGTTGAGAAAGGCTCCCCAGCCAAACAGGCAGCAAGCAAATCAAGGGAAGCTTTAGAAAAGAGTGGGAAAAAAAAAAAAAAAACAAACCCTATAGACAAAAGCAGGGGCAGCCAGACCTGCAGAGCAGGCGGGAAGCGAAGCAGGATTTACATGGGAGCAGAGGCGAGGCTGCAATCACTGCAGGGGCGGCGGCGGAGAGCCCTGCTCGGCACCAGCAGGCGCACCCCACATTCCGCACCCCGCGCCGGGCGCCGGAGCGGCTCCGGGGGCCGCCGGGGCGCACGGGAGAGGCCGAGCCCCGCTCGGCACCGAGGCGCCCCGTGCATTTTCCGCTGCCGGGCTGCTTGCTGCGCCCGGGGACTTTTCTCTTCTTTAAGGTCAAAACCACCTTGCAAACAGGAAAAGGTTGAGGCTCCCTTTTGCAACAGGTCCCTCCTTTCACCCGCTTATTTTGTAAGCCTGTCCTTAACGCCCCTTCCGCGGGCGCCTTTCCGTCCCGGCAGCGGGGTCCCCCCTCGCCCCGCTTGCCCAGCCGGCCGCCTCGCGGCCCCGTCCCCAAAAACATATAGAAATGGGTATAAAAGAGGCGCAATAGGCACAAAGGCCCGTTCGGAGCAGCGCCCG